AACCACGAAGTCAACTGGATGTCGACGAAGCCCGGTTGCCAAGGATCAAAGGCAGAGTGTGGTGAATTTGGCATTAAATTCGATATAAACAGGCGCATTTTAGTTGCCAACAAATATATAAGCTATGGTGCACTGCAAGCCAACAATGTCCCCTGCTCCCTGAAAGGTGCATCATACTACAACTGCCAACCTGGTGGTGAAGCTAACCCCTACAGCCGCCAATGTTCTGCCGTCACCGACTGCCGGAGTTAATTTTTTCGCCTCTATTTGTACATCTGCCTTCTCTTCCTCAATTTACGACATGGATTTGGTACGTTGGACTCGATATGTATGTATACGATATTTTAATATATTGTTCCGTCCAATTCAGTTTCAACCCAGTGTACTCCTCCATGGTTCATTTGCTCGAGCTCTTAGTGAACTCTATCTCTCTATAATCTATTCGCTTCGGTAAAAGAAGTTTTACTAAAAATAATTCGTTATTGCTTCATCTTGGAGTGGACAAAAGCAATGAGAGAGAATCAAACAATGGTTAAGAGGGTAACAAAACTGAGTTACACAAGGGCACTAAAATCTGTTTGAAACCAAAAAGGTGCAACACAAAGGGCATTTTTGTCATTTTACAAGGGTAAAACTCGCAGCGATGACCAATAATATTCAGTTGCAAACATAGACAACCATGGCACGGCTACCCTGCACCATTAGAGCAAATCTCGATCATATTCCTAGTACTTCGATAGCATTTTGTTCCAGTGTAGTAGACGGAACTGGATAGAGTCAAAGAAAGGGAGATAAGATGCTTGTCCATTATATCCTGTCCAATCCCCTTGAGCCCAAAATAACAAATATATCTCACGAACGCATACATTAGAAGAATGAATAATATTATTTAGCACTAGTGGTTAATCACCAATTTATATGACATTATTTGATAAGTTCAATTAAAAGTGAAATTATGTGATTCATTTAAGAGTTTTGCTAAGTGCATGATGTCCCGGTATAAGGTCACAGATTTTTTTAGTCACAGATTATCAAATTTTAAGGTCACGGACGAAATCGTTTAGGTCACAGATTATTGTTTTAGTCACAGATCGTCAAATTTTAAGGTCACGAACCAAATCGTTGAGATCACAGATTATTGTTTTAATCACAGATCGTCAAATTTTAAGGTCACAGACCAAACTTTATGGTCTCCCCTTCCACCGATCCTATCCAGCACCAATCTTGGTCACAAACCACCACCATCCAATCGTCGATTGCACTATACCACCACAACACCATGCTCGATCCCGATCCAATTCCACCATAGCACTTGGTCACAATCACTATCCATCACCATTATTGCACCCCTATCATGTCAAAACAATCGGTCAACACCACAACACACCACCTGAGCCACCACTGCACCACCGCACAGTACCACACCACTATTGCATGCACCCAACCACCGCACCACCACCTCCATCTCCACTGCACACCTCATTGCACCATAGCACCATCAACACATATAGTTAAATTGGCCACACACTTCCACCTCCACTTCACACCGCACGCCACCACTACCATCACAATCACACCATACACCACCACCACATTAACAATAGCCATGACTAGAAATCCACCATTACAGCACCCACACGCCATCGACCAACACAATACAATCACCAACACCACCACAACACCCAAAACCACCACTAGATTTCTCTACTACAGAGAATAAATTCACCACCACAGCCGCCACCACAAAAACCGCCATCACCAATTCACCACCAGGTCCACCACCACACAAAACACCGTCAAATCCACCACCATCTTCGCTGCTGTCAACGCATTCAAGGCACTCTAGTCTTCAGATCCACACAATTGCACAAGCAAAATGGGTCAGATCCAGCTGCAACGGCACTCGTCCTCGTCGTTGGCCTCGACGGCGACATCGTCGCTCACGGTTACAAAGGCGTCATCGTCGCGCGATGACCTGCAGTGGTCTCCGATGAGGAGAGACATGAGAGACAGAGAGAGCAAACACTCGTCCTCGGCCACGACGGCGACACCGTCACTCACGGAGTGTTGCAGCTGCGTCATCATCTTCATCGAACGACGAAGTTGTGGTGGTTGCTGATGATGAGCTACGTGAGAGACAAATCGACAGTTGAGAGAGAGGGTAAATTGAAATGGTTAGGGTTGAAATTGGAGGAGATATTTAATTATCATATTCATCCCAGATTTGTGAATAACAAAACTTCATACCAGATTTTTGTACTGTAAAGTTAAAACACCGGTGACGGTGTAATTTCTTCAAAATATAATACCCAAAAGGCCCACTATTTTTTTAGGGAAAAAAGGGCCCAAAATGTTATCTCCTTTGCCATCAGTACATAGTTGACGCCATCATGTTGCCAGGCAACCTGTAACTTTCGGCCAATCTATAACTTCGGATGGAGTTAGCATGGGAGGTCGCTCCTATCGTCGAGTACTAGCTTTGTCACTTGTCAAATGCATAACCATTAATAAAAGTATATTTTAAATTTTCTCAAATAATTTGAATAAATTCTTCAAATTCTGCGATTTGAGATCTCGCTATCAACTTCTTGACTTAAAAAAACAATCTTTCTCCATAAAGTCAAATAATTAGGATAAAATTGTATTTCTTAGGAACAATACATGTACCTTTTGGCGCATACTGTTCAAAAAATAAATGTGAAAAAAAAAATCAATGTATAGATTCAAGTCCTATTTCTTTGTTCCTATTCTTTCTTCATATTAGGTGTTTTTTTTTTATTTGCTCTCTCTCTTTTTAACTTCTAAAAAATTATCAAACAAGGAAAAAAGGTCTAAACGGAGGACTTTGCTTGAAATTGGCCCTATGTGAAGAGCAAAACTTTTGAGTCTTGTTCATTAGCTCGTTTCAAATCAAATTTGACTAAAATTTCGTCAAAAATGGATAACTCCAAAATTTCTCTAAAAATCGGGATGTTGTATATTTCTGCTTGCATTGATCCCACTTTTCCATAAAGTCTAATTTCCTCAACGCCACATAATTATTTGATAAAATTTTAATTCCATTGTATTTCACTTGGGACTCGTTTTGCTTTTGTTGTCGTGGTCGCTTTCTGTAGAAAAGTTTTCGGAGGAACCTACCTTAATTTTCATTTGAAAATTAATTTTTAAAAGCAATTCATTAACTAGAAGCACTTTTAAATTTTAGAGAACGTCAAAATAGACCAACTTTATCTAAAAAGCTCATCTAAATACTAAAAGCGTTTTCATAAAATTAGCCACACGGCTCAAAAGTAACTTTTGGATTCAAAAGCTCCTTTTCGATTTTTCAAAATACATGCCAAACTGGCCCTTTAAATGATTTTAAAGAATTTCAAAATAATAATTAAATAAAACTATGGAATACGAACTTATACGATTTAATCTCAGAAGATTTTATATTTTTTTCTCAAATACGAATACAACTTATTTGATTATTATTAATTAACAAATAAAATCCAAACATGACTTCAAAAACATCCAGATACATTTTTTTTTTAAAATTGCATTGCGCTTTAATATTTTGTGTTTTCCGACTTGGTATATTTACAATCCTATTAAAAAATGCTACAAAGTATTGTAAATTAAATAGTGTTTATTAATGACAATTTTATACGTGGAGCCCTAATTATACCCTATAAATAAGGTGCTTTGATGCTCAATTAACTATATGAGCATTTTGACTATCTATATTCTATTATCTTTCATTATTCTTAATTTGATTCGAACATATTATCAGCACTCAATTTTAGTCAACTGAGTTATCAAACACAATTCATATCTTCTATCTAAATAAAAGCATGTACTTATAGCGAAAGTAACTCTTTTTTTCTATTTAAAAAAAGAAAAAGAAAAGAAAAGGTGAACGGAGAGTAAATACTTTGAAAAAAATATTATGCTTTATTGATTAGTCTATATTTTAGAATGCTATCATGTCGTTGATTTTGAATAAGTACTACTTTATATGAACATATGGATAAATTTTATATTGACGTTCTTGAAAAAACATAATACAACTATATAAATATTTAAGAAAAATATCTATTTTATTATTCATGATTTTATTAATAATTCGTAAATCAATATTTTAGAAGAATGTTGTAAATCGTGAAACAAATATTGTGTATCCATATAATTGAAAAGCTTTTCAATTATCGCATATTAATATTTCAGAACAAATATTGTATAATTTTTCTTTCAAAGAGGTGCAGTTGTATATTGATTAATATTTTCAGAATAGATTGAATTTTTATTATATATATATATATTATATATATATATATATATATATATATGTGAATACTCTCGAAAAAGATTAATGAAGTGAATTTCAATATTTCCAGAGGAATACATCATATTGATAGTTCCTAAAAATATACAGCTTAAGGAATGATATTATATTAATCATGAAAAATCGCTAACTTTAATTATTATTGCTTTGAAGTATAACAAGTTTGACATATCATTACTTTGTATGAATAAAGTTTATGCTCTCAGATAAGCACAATCCAATGTCTCAATCTTCTAATGTGATGATTTTTAAAGAATGTGATATGGTAAGAAGGCTTTTAAACCTTTTAAAAAATTACCTTTTACAAGCGCAAAATGAGTATCAATACACTTTGTTGTACGACAACAACGTATATTTTTGCCCTTTTTAGTGGTAAAGCAACCATCTTGGTGGAGGAAGCCCTCTTTTATTTGTTGTTGTAGAATTGGAACCGAATAATGGGCTTGGCTCCATTTTTTCATAAATTTTACATTCTTGGATCATTCAATTTTGATTCTTTAAAAATGCAAATAAGAACCTCGGTTGTCCATTCGGAATGATAGGCCAATGTCATCAAGTTTTGATTATTTGCTAATTACTCTTCTATCCATTTTTCACTCATTAACCTTAGTTAATTGTGTATTAAACTGTCCAATAATAAAATATCTCGTGATATTATGTCAATCTTTATCTTCGTGTGACATGATTGTTAATCCAAATTAATGTCTGAACAGATTTTTTAACACAGTCCGGTCGAATCCGATCCGATGCGGTTCGGAACTAATGTGCACCATTAGTGGCATGGAGCCACGTGTAATGACCAGGAATCGATACATAGTTTACTTATATCAGCAGACCAAAAACAGGAGAAAATATGAGTCCGAATTGAGGCACCGCACTTCAGGAGCTCAACATCTCCCCACGTGTACACTTATCCTCCACCGTCCCATCACCTCTTTCGGCTACGTGTCCTTCAAATTCTACCCGATAAACACTCTCCGATTTATAAATTCCCCCACCTCAAATCCCTCCTGTACACACACACTCTCCCTCTCTCTGAAATTCCTTCCTTTTCTCTCCACTCAAAAACACCTTATTATGGCATCGCAGGAGCTCAAACACAGAACTAAACCAGAAGAACAAGAAGGAGAAACTAAGGAAATCGACGCCTCTTCCGCTGCCGATATGAATAATTCCGGCAAACCTGGACGCCAGAAAAAAAGGGCCATGGCCAGCCGCGGGCTCCGATCATTAGTCCTCGCAGTTTCGTTCCCAACTTTGTTAACGATAATGGATATTTACCTGTTCGGATCGAGCAATAGGTACCGTAACACCGAAAAGCCTTTTTATTTCCCTCCTCTTTGGGCTTTGCACTCGGCCTGTTTGGCAGCTGCTTTTCTCTCGGGCCTGTCTGCTTGGCTTGTTTGGGCCGAAGGTGGGTTTCATAAGCAGCCCAATGCTTTGCTTCTATATTTGGGGCAACTTGGGCTGAGTTTGGGGTGGTACCCGATTGTATTTGGAGCAGGAGCGACTCGGGTCGGATTGGTGATGTGTACGGCTTTATTCGGGGCTATGGTTGGGTGTTGTCGTATGTTTCGGGTGGTAAACCCGATTGCCGGTGATCTTGTTAAGCCTTGTTTAATATGGGCGTTGCTTTTGTCTATTGTAAATCTTAGGCTTGTGTACCATTGAGGAAATTAGTTTGCAATAGGTGTATCAAACGACGTGGTTTTGTGTATGTAATGTAATGGAGTGTTTGATTTTATATTTTTAGGCAATATATATTATACATTTTTAAAGTTCAAGATTATTACTTTTTATTTAAGTCTGGACCATCACAAACCGTCGTACACGTCGATTTTGTGGATTTATTGGTTTAAAATATACGAGTTTATAAGAGTAATACCGTTCATAGTGGACGTATAGATGATAATTTGTTATTTGATGCAGGAGGCATGTAAAACGACACAATAAATAGCATTGTTCAGTTTATAATGTTCGAAGATTGATAAATTTTAATTTTAACCATGTAATATTCATAGTTTATTTATATAATTTATAAATTTAGCAATTTATAATTTCTTCCAAACAAGCCTTAGTCTTTGAAAATCTAGACGATATCAAGTACAACATTTGAAATATTATATTTGATTAAATTTCGAGAGAGGATGAGGACAACAGTACTGGCGAGGAGTAATATTGAGGGCATGTTTGGTAGTTATTTTTTTCAAAATATATTTTTCTCTCTCTTTTTTTTGATCACGCATTTTTCATTAAAATAATATTATACGTAAATTAGAAAATTTTCCTTATTTTTCAACCATACATTTCACATCAATTTACTATTCTAAAATGTATTTTTACATAAAAATGACTATCAAACACCCAGAAGATGGAATGTTGGTTGAT